CACCATGGAAACCTTTTGCAGACACTTTTTCAGTGGGTATAGCTACAAAATATGGCGAGGGAAATACATCTCCCAGCGTACAGATCCCAGAAGTATTTCAATAACCGGAGAAGGTTATCGGCGGATGTTTGGCATCAACATCAACACGGACAAGTGGGTCAGTCGTCTTAAAATTGAGAAAAATCAAGATCAAATCTAGAATAACAATATTAGCATTTAGTATAGAATTAGGTGGAAACAAATTTTGGCAAGCACAAAGGTAAGATGATAATGTAACTACTTCCTGAGTTTGGGGTGGAACATAAACATCGTTCCGGGGAATGGCCAATGAGCAGATGTACTCATCAATCTATGTCGCTTTTGGTATATTGAAATCACCAACTATGCAAAATCTGGCACCAAGATCCTAGTTAGTTGTTGACTCAATATGTTCTCATGGAAAGTTAGCGGCAGAATATGGAGGCAAGTCAACCCCACGGGAAATGAGCAGACACTTTGTTGAACAATAGGAACCAGGAAGTCCAGGAACCAGTTCAATGGCAGAAGTAATTTGTCTACCTGAATTAATAAATGTTCAATTATTATTTTTGATTACTGTTACTTTACTTTAATTATCTATGTGTAAATGTAAGGGCTAATGCACGCAAGAAGATATTTAGTCGCCGGACGCAAAAAGCTATTAGTCGCGTGAAAAGCTGAGAATACCTTAGAAAACCGCGCTGTGTTTAATATGCCAAATGAAGCACGAAGCTATACTGACACCTTGAGAAGAAAGTAAAACTAAAAAGAAGCAAAGAAGAAAAAAAAAAAAAAACGTTAAATTGGTGATTGGTGAAAAGCAAATAAACTATGGCGGTAATAAAGCAATAAGATACTTAATTTTTGGAACAGAAACTAACAGGGATTACCCCTACCAGCGATTTTTTCAATAAATATGTTATTCCATAAATACCTCTCCTAGTTGTATATTTTTACGTGCTGTGGCCTGCAGTACATTAAATTGATATTAACATGATTAGTTTGTTTTTGACTATTTCAGCATGTTTAGACAGGCAATTATGCAGGAACTTGACCTTAAAATTATTAATCATTCTCATTATAGATATAATATTTTTTAAATAATATCGAAAACAATAATTTTAAGCTTAATTGACTTCGAACAGTGGTAATTTGACGCTCTAAAAAATAAAAAATTAAAATATGATCCTGCAAGTACCTATCATAATAATTAAAGTTTTCTTTTATTCTTAACTGTTATCATATTATAACAACAGAAAAAGTTGCCATCATCACAAACGGTTACAAGAAAATAATAATTGCACAGGTAGGACTCTCACGGAACACAATGGCCGATGCAGTTCAATAAACCGCATGCTTATTATTATTTTCCTTTGCAATAAGCCTATTCAATTTTAATCTATGGTTAGTTTCTTTAATGATATATGTTTTCACTCTCAACACTGAAAAATCTTCATTATGCATACTACTATAAAAAATGTTATTTTAAATAGGCCCGTAGTGCATGATTTCGATTCTCCCGTAATGTTCAGAATAAGTTTGATATATAAATATAAAACAGTAATGAAATATATTCGTTGGACTGGTTGGTCTAAGATTCATTTCATTGTTCATTGCTTCAGAATCCTGTAGTATTCGCAATGTAATCAATAATACTTAATATTAATATTAAGATTTTGACAAGATTCTGGAATTTTCTGGTTATTTATGGAGTTACTTATAAATTTTTAGGGCATTTTCTATTGTAGTTTCTCCCATCTTCAACAGTGCTTTTTGACTTTTCGCTCCCGTTATTTCTGGGATTTATCCTGAGTCTTTGTTTAGGATTTTACCCATTTTCTCTTCTAGTAGACTCATTGTATTATTTGATTGTTTGTTATATTTCTTAAATCTTTCCTCGTCTTCTTGCAATCTTTTGCAAAGCTCTTTGTATTCGTTCGAATTTCTATATGTCATTCTTCTCTGGTCTAACAATTTTAGTTTTAGTGTATTTGGGTTTGCTTTCCTCTCTTGATGTTTGTAACTTTCTTGTTATTAATAGATAAAAGTAAATAAATCAATAATATGAAGAAAAAAAAAGCCATTACCCATTACTTGTAGTTACCCAATAAATAATAAATGAATAAATTATTTCCGATACCTAGTTGATTCAATCGAGTTTTATTAGGGTTTTATATCGATTTTTAAATTATTTTGATACTCAGCTTTGTTTGATTATAGGATTACTAGGGTCGAGTGAAACGGTTCCATAACCAATATTTCTCTTTTTGAGATAAGTATTTTTTATTTTTTTTTTCCTTTATTTCAACATGGTAGTTAAACAATATATGTATGAACCTAGACTAGAGACCCTGAGCTGGAAAGCTATACGGGTCATTCAGTATCACATATAACATTATTACAATATACCGTATTATTTTATACATTATACAATATCACACAAGAGAAAATATCCAGTACAAGTAGGTACTGTATCACAAAGTTGTTGCATTTATGAATATCTTAGTTCTAAATTGCAGATAAAGTCTTTCATTGTATGTACAGTTCCAAAGTATCCATCGAAGATCAGCTGCTTCAGCTTACACTTGAAGCAAGTTATGTTCAATCTTTTAACAGGTTCTGGAATTCGATTGTAGTATCTTAGTCCTTCTGATAAGATGCTGCGTTGGCCAGTTGTAGTGTTCATTGCCGACGTTCTTAAGTTTTCATTGAGTCTGGTATTGTGGTGATGGACTGTGTTGGCTGGGATGAGACTTATTGTAGAGTGAATATTGGAAGTCTTGCAAGAATGGATAAAGATGCACGATTGCAAGATATACAGAGAGTGAACGTCCAGGATGCCATTCGGATAATATAAGTCTTTTGTTGGAAACAGAAATGGCAGCCTAAACAATTTTTTATAGCACGATTTTGGAGAACTGACAATGGGTGCAGTTTGTTCAGGGAAGATTGCCCCATAGCAGAGTTAGATATGATATGTGAGAATGGATGAGGGAATTGTATATCATCTTACGATTCGTGATGGACAGATAGTCCGATATTCGACCAAGTACTCCAAATGCTGGTGTAACCTTTTTACATATATGCAAGATGTGCATATCCCAAGTAAGTTTTGAATCGACAAAGAGTCCCAGGTATTTGATGCAGTCTGCACGAGTCAATGGAAGACCCTGGAAGTTTATTGTGAAGTCAGGCCAGGACTCAAACTTTGATATTACTATATAGCTTAATTTTTTCACATTTACACACATTTGTGGTAACAGAGCCATTCGCTTATTTTCTGTAAGTCTTCTTCAATGATGATTTTTAAGTTCCTTGTCAAAATAAGTGATGCAAGTATCATCTGCATATAAACTGAGAGAGCCCTGAAGAGGTATGTATGACAGTGAGTTGATGTAGACTAGGAAGAGTGTGGGTCCCAGAATTGAGCCTTGGGGCACTCCGTGTACAATGTTTTCCATTTTACCTTCACATTCAACATACTGTAGTCTGCCCGACAGATAGTCCCTAAACCACAGTAGTGCTGAACCTCCAATACCAGTTTTTTCAAGCACCTCTACGAGAATTTTGTGATTTACTGTGTCAAAAGCTTTTGTTAAGTCCAGCGAGACAAGTACACACTTATATCTCTTATCAACCTTTTCATAAATATTTGTAATTAGGTCTGTAGTTGCTGAGGAGGTACTGCAGTGTTTTCTGAATCCATATTGACCCGCATACCAAAAATTTATTCCATCCAAATAACTGGTTAATCTCATATTTACACAGGTTTCCAATACCTTAGACATAGCTGGGAGCAGGGAAATGGGCCTGTAGTTGTTTAGTTCTGTGCTATCACCACCCTTAAATAAAGGGACAACCTTGGCCATTTTAAACAAACTTGGTACAGATGCAGTATTAAAAATAAGATTTATCAACTTACATAAAATAGGCGGTATTTCATTTTTCAATTCCTTGATTGTATCAATGTCCAAGCTGTCAGTTCCAGGTGATTTTCCTGGTTTTAATTTGTTTATAACTGCAGTGACCTCCTCTGTAGTCACAGGTTCCCTTTGATTTATATAGGCAGTAAAAGCTGGTTGGAGTTGAGGGGAAAAATTTTTGGGGGGATGTTTTTTGCTAGTTCTGCGGCAATTCCGGAAAAGTATTGGTTTAGCAAGATAATTATTGACTATTGACATTGATAGTGTCGCCTATGTTCGCACTATGTATTAAGCTTGGTATAGTATGAGATCATTTATACATATAACATTTTACTCCTGATATTCTCTTTTTCTAGTCCAAAAGTGTCAATAATATCCAATTTTGGCATTGAATTTCCCAATGGTCATTGGAGACGTCGCGTTTTCTGATTTTTGAGCCTTTCTTATATGTTCATGGACTTATTCTATTTCTTGATCTAAAAAACATTTCTGTTACAAGATGTTTCACCATTATCACATCTTTTGACAAAAATATAAAAGATTTCTATATGCAAATCTCCAATAACTTTCAGAATTATTATATTTTTATTGTAATTATTCTGCCCCAGAGTATTAATAGGACAAATCAACACATTAGTTTATTTTGCAGGTATATTAAGCGTTTAATTTTTTATTTTTTTCAACTGTATGGAATAATTATTAGATGTCCTACTTTTTGTTTCAAATAATAGATAATACCTACATTTGTTTTTTTTTTTTAATTTGACACTTACACAATAAGCAAGACCCAAAAGTCATTTTAAGAGATGGGGGTAGATGATATTCAACACATGGCAAAAGCGAAATAATTATGTAGACGTTTACCAACTACCCTAAAATTCACCCCTTTTGTAATTCCCTTGTATTTACCGCCCAGGCTTTACAGTAGCAGCAAGGGGAAAACGACGAGTTCTCCGAGATTTTTAAATACTTAACTGATTGCTAAATAATTGGCATGGAAATAAGAAATAATTAAGAGAGTCTTTTAAAGATTTATTAATTATTATTTTTTTTTTACAGATTAAAATTGGAATGCGAGAAATTAGCTAGCGAGAAAACGGAAATGCAAAGGCACTACGTCATGGTAAGTTTTGTTAGTTTATTTTTAATGTTGAAGCTTAGAGAATTCAATAGAGTTCCAAACCAGTCTCAAGTTTTAATTTTTGTTTGGTGGAAAAAAAAATTGCTGCAACTTTTGTTAACATTTATTTTTATTATCTGTCACTATACCAACCAGAAAGTCTCATCAACTACTCACCTAATTATAAAGATTTACTAATTATGCTAACTCTTCTCTAAAATATATTGCCATGTTTTTGCCATTAGTTTTGTTAATAAATATTTAGTATATGCGGGATATAGCCCACAAATCATCAAATAAATAAGTTTATTTACAAACAATTCACAAATCTTTCACAATACATTTTAACAGAACCCATACACCATGCGTTGTACTGATTAGTGATTAAAGTGTTTTATTGACACTGTTTTTAATACTACTGAGAGATATTGAAAATATTCTCAACCTACGACACAGTATCAGTATCTCCACCGAGGCAAATGGAAAGGAATGCTTTCAAGAACCTTTATAAACCCATTGATCAATTTGGGAAGAAAACATGTATCCACCATACTCCATACTCCAAACGGGACATCTCCACTAAATTCAACATAATCTGCACATGATCAAAATCAAAAATCCCTATTTCAAATGCTAGAAACCTGAGAAATAGACAGGTGATCAGTGATCACACATTATATCCATATTAATCCACTTCATAGACCTCAACAGTTAAAAAGTTTTGTTAATCAAATATTCAAAATGAATCTTAAAACTCAGGACCAAGTTGAAAAATATTCCAAAATCTTTAAGCACATTGCTGTTTATTTCTGAAAAATTGGCTTGATATGATACCTCATTTATCTACATTGAGATCCAATGCCAAATTCACACACCAACTAGTAAGATAATCTCGTATCAACATTCAGTCATTCAAACTACATAGTTACCTTTCTGAATAATTTCAAATCTTCAGATAGAGCAGGAATTTGATATTAAAAAAACAATCTACTACATCATTCATGTACAAATTAGGATGAAAAGGTGATATGGTTTTTTACGTTATATTTAGGATGACGTCATAGAACAAAAAGAGACAATGTTGTCAATGCCTATTTTTTTTCTTATAATTTATCAGAATGTCACGTGACAATAGACCTATCTATTTTACCAACAAAGAAGTAATAATACGAAAACTTCATTAGATGAAAAAAGACACAGAACGCTCATTGCGCAAGACGAGGCAAAATGTACCAAATTTTGTTAAACTTACGTATGGCAATCCATCCTCCTTATTTGCACGGGATAAAAAGAAAAGAAGAAAAACCGCGTGTTTTGCAACGTATTTATCAATGAAAATTTCAAACTACTTTCGAGTGTCACTTGTCAAGCTATGTCAAGTTGAATATCAACCGTACTTTTATTTTTGTCAGACCACGAGCAATGAACAAGGACAAGGAGATGTCCAGCGTGCAAAACGAAGACTTCACACCTGTACTAGTTAGCTAATAAAAAGACTTGCCTCATGTTGCGCGCGCACGCAGTAAAAATAGATAGGTCTTTTCTGTCAAACGAAACGGAAAATATGTAATTTACTTACATGCCTCACAGCAGTAGGAAGCAAAAATGGTCGCGTTCCTGCTGGAAATACGTTATTAAGTATACTACCCTTTCCTGAGGCCGACTCCGACAAACCTGCTGGCATTTTCTGAGTAAGTTTACGCTACGAAGAAGTACTGAATTCTTGAGAGAACTTTTTTCTAACTGTAGGTAACGTATTTTTGGCACTTAATTAGGATTATACAAAATAGTTAATAATAAATTATCAAGACGACTGACAGTTTAAAATAACGAAATGAATCGACACGCATTATTTGAAAATGTTTATATAAATAGATACAAATCATGCAACGTCGCGCGCCGTTGCCAACCAAAAACATCTGAAATTGCCCTACTTTAAATGCGTTGAAAAGTACTTTTAGTTTTGTTAGGTTGGCAGCAGAAATTTACTAGATGTGACGTCATCCTAAATATAACGTAAAAAGCCTATATATGTCCAACTTTGGCACCCTGAATATTGCTCTAAACATATAGTTCTCTATTCGAGGCAACAATCTACCTTGAAAACCCTTCCAATCAAGCTTAATAATGAAGGTCTCGTGATTTACTCTGTGGAATGCCTCGGATAAATCAGTCTAAATTACATCAACTTGAAACTCGAAGGCGTCGAACAGCCATTATACAACTTTGATTATACTCTCCCAACATTTTCAGGTTAGTAGACGTAGATTTTTTCGAAATAAATCCATACTGTTCATCTATCAATAAACTGTTGAAGTGTCCTTACCAGGTAATAGGTAATCCATTTAAAAATCGCGATTATACAGGAAAATACTCATACATACATATCAAACATTTCTTGTAGTATAGCTGCTTCATGTTTCTCTTTCGTTTTTCAAGAGACGAGATTATAATCATTTTGCCATTTTTATACTATTGATTTCTGGCTGTAAGAGATAAAATCCTCAAAGATTAATATACTGTTATCTTTCATTCAACGACCTATAGGTATCAAAAAATAGATTTTTGGTTAATCTAATTAGGTGGTCTGGCTACAAACAGTTTTCTACCAATTACCATATCAATTAATATCGTTCTAGTTAGCGATTTCTATACATAAACAGCCTGATTACCGAGGCACCCCTAGCTGTAGGAAGCGAAGCACATCTGTCGTCAGTATTATTAATGCACGCCTCTATTGACGCATTTAAGCAAGTTTTGAGGTGTCTTGAGGCCGGTCCTGCACCGTTTCCACTTTGCTCCCTAAAATTACGATGCGGATACGTCGTTTGTCAGTGACGACGTCGCGACGTCTACAAAGAAACAAGTAGGAGAATGGGTGGAAAAGCAAGGGACTCGTGAAAACCCTGTCAGAATATAAACGGATTGATTACTTTCAGTTGTGTATCGCTTTAGGGATATTAATATAAACTATTTGTGGCGATACAGGACAGGATTTCTTCACAAAGCAATCTAAAATCCTTATAATTCTTATATACTCAAACCATCGAGAAAACCATCCTTGAAATAAATATCTTCAAAGCGAAGCTCAGAAATATAAAATGGCAAGTTGAATATATTATAAAAATTTAAATATTTCCAAATCGGCCTTAAAATTACTGTGTAAAGAGAAACTCAAATATATCATACTCGAAAATTTAATTTTCCATTTAACAAAACAACACCGGACAGAAGCATCCGGAAATAAACATAGACTAACCAAAAACCATCTTTCCATTATGTTAAATTTAGGGTCCTCACTACCGATTCGGAAATTTCATGTAAAAGGAGATAAATCGAAACATGGCAACAGTGTTAAGTGGTTAGGCGGTGAACCGGTCAACCAATTTTCAATCATGGTCGTAATCGCCACTCATTAAGAGCATTAATTGTGAATTTTGAGCGTAGACAGGGCTTTCCGTCGTCGCGACGCTTTTAGAAGGCCGGTTTTGTATGCGTGTTGTCGTTTGGTTGATGCTAAACGAACAAGCTCTGGGTAATTTACTGTGAAGCGTTAATTTATTCTCTGAAGCGTAGATTTAAAATCTGAAACAATAGCTCTTGGGCATAAATAATTATTTAATGCATTGATGAGTTGGTTTTCGGGGCCTTAATTGTTTTTTTGTAGATTTCAATCGCTTCTTTGTTAATAGCATTTTTCTATGTGCCGTCTCTCTAGTATTAGACTTTTCATACGTTTGGTTAATAAATAGGTAGTTAATCTTAGTTTTTTTAAGGTGGTATATTTGGCATGGAAAATGCCAAATTTCAATAAATCCTAGTTGTCGAGTTGGTTTTTGGCCTGCAATTCGTTTTACTTTTTCTTGGTCGGTTGGTGTAGGTCCTCTTTCAGTGTTACATTTATTACTTTGTGGAACAATATTGAAGTTGGTCAGTTCAGAACAGCGATTGTCAATGGTAAGTTGACGAGAATTAAGCATTTCGCAAGACTGACATAAGAGTCTGTGTTTAGCATTGAGAGATAGATTCGAAAGACGAAATATTAAAATCTCGCTGGAGCACAAAATTTATGTTCAAGAATTTCCACCTAAGCATCTGTAGCAGACAATAGAAATTTCATGTCAAATACAAAGCAAACGGAAGTAGACTTAAAGCCTGAAACGTCGATGAGTGGCACGATGTCACAGATCACTGAGTTCAGCCGTTCGATAGTGAACACATTGTGGAATCCAACACACCGCCTCCACCTGGAGCTTCGACCAGGTCGATTTTTCCATCGGAACATTAGATTGTTTATGAATCTGGGAAGAATTCAGAGGCTATGGCCAAGAAGCGGTGACTCTTGTCTTCGTCAGTGTTATGGAAATATGAATACGGACGACGAAGACAGAACCTTCGTTCTCATAAGAACGTACTCCCCTGTTTCGAAAATAAAGTCCCAGAAAGCAGTTTTTTTGCTGCTTCTGTTACAGTCTACAGTCGAGGGGGCGTCATTGGTATATTTGATGGTTAGTCTAAAGCAGGACGCGCACTGAATCGACTCGGACCGGTCGACTCGGCCTAGTGCATTCGGTAGTTTTTAATACTCATGCAATTAAATGAGACTCCGCGCACGGCATCGGACTCGTCGACTCGACGGGATCGACTCGAGTCTCATTTAATTGCATGAGTATCAAAAACTACCGAATGCTCTTCGCCGAGTCGACCGGTCCGAGTCGATTCAGTGCGCGTCCTGCTTTAAGGTCTGTTCCCACAGGAGTCTCTGAGTAAGCATCGCCCATACATGTTTTCAATGCTGTCGTTACAAGATAAATCTGTAACTCAGCTGAGCGATTGTTTCTGACAGGTTGCAAACTGTCAGAGACTCCTGTGGGAACAGACCTTTAATCGTTGGCGTGACGACGGCTCAGCTTCTCCTTGATATCATGTAAGTGTTCCTGTTAGGCAGGAGCTTTGTCAGTCAAGAAACTTGTTCTTGTTGCTTAAGGTCGGAGACACTTCAT